GCTCTCCATGGAGGGCACCCTGCTCTCCATGGAGGGCACACAACTCTCCACGGAGGGCACCCTGCTGTCCTATGGAGGGCACAGAGCTCTCCATGGAGGGCACCGTGCTCTCTATGGTGGTCACCCTGCTGTCCATGGAGGGCACCCTGCTGTCCACGGAGGGCACACAGCTCTCCATGGAGGGCACCTTGTTGTCCATGGAAGACACACAGCTCTCCATGGAGGTCACCCTACTGTCCACGGAGGTCACCCTGCTGTCCCACCTGTGCCCACCAGCATCCCCCAACTTCAGAGACACCTCCAGCAAGCTCAGCCAACACCTCTAGACCCCGCCCCGACCCAAACCTACCGGTGAGGAGGAAGCTGCAGCGCGGCAGCGCCCGGCCCCCGCCTCGTTGAGGATGTTGCAGTTGTAGGTGCCGTAGGTGTCCCTGGCCAGGCTGCTGACCGTGTACTGGGTGGAGTCCTGCCCGTCGAACTGCCCGCTGCGCAGCAGCTTGGGGCCCAGGCGCCACTCGTAGCTCAGCACCCGCGTGGGATAAGCCCTCAGCACCCTGCAGCTCATGGTGACGCTCCGGCCCTGGCCCTGCCGAATCTCCAGGAAGGTGGGTTCCACGGCGGGGGGGTCTGCAGGAGACAGGGAAGGAGAGTTGGAGCTTTGTGAAGGGGTTGGTGGGAGAGACAGAGTGAACGCGCCACCGTGGAAGGGTCGGAGCACCTCAACGTGAGCCAGTGTCCCCCCTGAGGGACTCGGTGATGGTCCAGGGTACACCTCAGGGGGTGCTGATCAGCCAGGACCAGCCCCAGAACTGTGTCCTCCTGCTGAGCTCATCCTCTGACGATCAAGAACCTTGTGCTGCTTCACCACCCTGAGAGCTCTGGAGGGCCAAGGGCTGGGGCTGGGCTGGCACCAGGTGCCAGATGCTCTCTGAGAACCCCTCTGTCCTCCCAAAGGGGCAGGGAATGGGAATAAGGGAGAGAGAATTATGGGAAGGAAAGAAAATTAAGACAGCTTTAGTGGAAATAGTAATAAGAAAACGGAATCTATACAAATAGGTGCAAAATCAGTATGGAAGCCAAGCCCCTGATAGCAGTGATGTCACTGTCACCACTGGTGCTGTGGGGCAGCACTGGGGAAGGCCCAGGCTGGACTCAGCACCAGATGGGAACAGGATTCAGGAGCTGGGTTCTGGAACACACCAACTGGGATCCAAGGCAGAAGGGACAGAGTCCTCCTTGGACACCAGCCACTGCAGAAGAGCCTTGACCCTCGTGATCCCCCAGCTCCATCCTGAGCCTGCCCTACCTGGGCTGGAACCCCTCGCTGGCCAGTTTGGGGTCCCCTCTCCTGGCCGCTCCTCCCCACAGGTGCCACCTCTTCCTCCCTGCTCCCCAGCGTGGGGCACAAGGCTGAGCAGTGCCCTTGCTCTGCCCAGGAGCCAGCAGCAGCCAGAGCCTTTCTGCCCAGCCCAGCCCTTGGCAGGAGCTCTGCCCATGGAGCGGTGTCCCTGCTGGGAGCAGAGACTGGCTGGGGGAATCTGCTGAGTGCGGCTGGGACCTTCAGCCGGGGCAGGGGCTGGGCAGGGGCTGAGCTGGGCAGGGACAGCATGGGGCAGAATCTGTCCCCCTCTGGCTCACGGCAGGACAGAGATGCAGGGAGAGGTCCCGTGCCTGGGCAGCCCAGGAAGCAAAGTCCTCCCAACCCTCACAGGGGAACCACAGGCTGACACAGGAGACCTTCTGGAAGAGGAAGGGGGAGAAGAAGAGATAAAAGCCTTGACTGGGGCTAGAAAAAGGTGCACAAGGCAACAGTGACCCTGGCACAGGGTGGGGGCAGCGAGTCCATTGGGTGGGGGACACGACTCCCCAGTGACAGCAGATGGCTCCAGGAAGCAGCACAGACATCCCTTCCCAACCTCCCCCCCACCTCCAGGCAGCTGCCTTCAGGCTTCAACAAACATCTCATCATACCTTCACCTTCTCTATCCACACAAGTGGTAGATTTGATATTCCAGTAAGCAAAGAATGGGCCCTTTTCCCAGAACTGGAATTAAACTCTATTTTAAATAATTTAGATTCGCAGCTACGAAGACTGACAGACTTTTGATTCCAGCAAAATACAAAATAAATAAAATATAACCAACATACAGTGTATGCAAAAACCTCCCTCTGCTCTCACCTTTGCCTTCTGATGACTTAATCACTGCAGAAGAAAGAGGGCAACTAGGGCAGAAAAAGGTTGGCACTCAGCAGCTCATCAGCACAGGTATTTAGATGTAAAAAAATGGGTATGCATTTGCAAACCAGTGAGCAACTGGACATTCTGCTCTTTAAAAGCCTGAGCCCATGAGAAAGAAATCCTGAAAGCCTCCTGGGCCAGGAAAATACACAAAATCTTTGCATCTGCATGAAAAGAGCTGTCTGACAGACTTCAAACATCTAGACACAAACCAGAAAAGCCTTGAGAAGCTCTGGAGAGAACGATGCTGACCAAGCTCCTTTCAGAAGGAACTCAATTCTACCATTACCTTGTCCTCAGGTCCTTCACTGGTTGGTATCTCCATCAACTGATACCATAGCCCTTCAAGACTCCAAATATTTAATTCAAACTGCAAACAGATTCCCTCAGCTCCTATGAATTAGGAACCTCACTCCCACATGTGCTGCTCACCACCTCTTGATTAGACAAGAATCCAGCTAAACACAGAGTATCTAAAATTGAGGTGAAATTCAGAGGCTGCTGTGTTAAGACAACGTTGCTCAGAGCTCCTGACACCCAGCAGTTGTGTCTGCAGCCCATGACACAGATAACTGCAAATAAAAGACCAGCAATCCTACATCCCCAACACCAGAAGTTATTCTTGAGTTAGTGCTGACTTATTCTTGGCAAAGGAAATGTGCTTGAGCTCACCTTTCTTCTAAGGGAGAGCTACTTAGGCAGTCCTTGATCTTCCTCTAACCACTCTGTCTTAAAATTTTTTGTACTTTGCACATAACCCTCTAAATCCTGCTATAGAATGGATACCAGAGAAATTTTTAATCAAATTTACTAATATTTACTAGTCATTCATTCATTCATTCATTCATTCCAGTCATTCCAGTCATTCCAGTCATTGATTCCAGCCCTGAGCAGTAAGTTCTCCAGGTTTCCTTTCCCTTTTTCCTGATAACTCTATATCCACAAATTCTCCAGCCCTGTTGCCCTTTACAGCCAGCACCAGAATATACTTTTAAATCCCAGAATCCCAGCATGGGAAGGGACCTCTGGAGATCACCTCATCCAACCCTCCTGCCCAAGAAGATAAATCCAGGTAGAATCATCACCAGCTTGGAGCTGGAGAGACATGAGCCTATAAAATAACACAACATAAGGATGCTCAAAGAGCAGCTGAGCGAAGACCACCCTGGACCAGCCCCCTCCACTGGTCCTGAGTGCCTGGGGCAGTGGGGGCACTGGGGAACTCTGGGACAGGAGCTTTCCTAGAAGCTCTGTGTGATGTGTTAAACAGCTTTGAAGAGCTAGTAGAGCTTTTAAGAAAATAAAAAGAAGAAAATGATTTTTAATATTTTCTTATTTTGAAGAAAAAAATCGCTTTTAAGAGCTATTTAGAGCTTTTAAGACCAGACAGATGCTTCCCCTGTCACTTTGTCCATCACCCAGGAGCCCATTTCACGTCTCAACACCCACAACTTCTGTACATTCTGTAATAATTTCCTCTCCTTGTTTGTTTTGCTGTTTCCATTTGAGGCACCGTATCAGTGCACAATAATTCTCTGTTCACCTCTCCACGGCAGCTCTGCTTTAATGAATTTTAGTAGATATTGGTATTCAGTCCCCTCTTTCCTCTTCCTCTGGTTTATTTACTTATAAGATGTTTTAGCCTTATAATTAGCTTTGTAATGAAAGTTTCCTTGCCTTTTTAAGGTCAAAATAGTCTTTAAAATACTGAATTTCCATCTCTCCACGAACTGATGCTACCCAGTGACAGAAAAGGAAAATTAGCTTTGCTTGCTCATTTCAGAATGACACTTTTTGTAGATAATAACATTAAATGAAAAGGAAAGGGATGGTAAAACCAACAATATATGACAGTGGCCAAAGCTAACAGGGTTTTTTTTTGGGAGGGTTTTCACAAGATAGTGACTTCACAGCCGTGCTGATGTCTCAGGCATCTTCTGAGAGCAACGATGCTCAGAGGGCAACACTCTGGAGCTGTTTGGGACTCATATATGTTTAATTTATTTGCATTAGCTCTTCCCCAAAGCTTTGGCAATTTGATTTAATTTACTTTGCTGCACTTCTCCCCATCTTCCCCAATTCTAGTGTTGGTTTTTGGAACATGTACAGAAAAACCCACCAAGGGAGTAGAGTTCATTTCCTTCAACAATTATCTTTGGGAAGCAGTCTGAAGTTAAAACAGGCTTTGTATTAATGTTTAAGGGTTTTATTTTTAGCCTAAGTACATTCACATCTTAAGGATTAGGGGAAGGAAAAAGGAGGCTCAGTAGCTATCAAGAGAAATGACAGCGAGGATGCTGGGTGGTTTGAGAGCAGAGAGATGCTCTTCATGGTGTAGGTCATGCCATGGTCTTTGTTGGAAGGTCTGGAAGGAAGTGACACGCCACTCAGTGAGTTTATTGGGACCATGTGGCCTCGAGCAGGGACTTTACCTGCTGATTTAGTTCCTCAGTTTGCACTCAAGCCTAAGCAAACTCAGTTTCTCTCCGCTGGCTCTAGGAATAAATAAGAAAACCTGGTGCCTCTGCTTGAGTTTTGATTGTATTTGTGGTCACTTCTTGCTTCACCCAGGGGGAACGTGACTCTAACAACCACCTCTGTCAGCCACAGAGAAGGAATGACTCAGATCCTCTGAGGGCAGGACCTGCACTGCAGAAAACAAAGCCAGTAAACGATAAATCAGGTGAGGTGACACCACCTCATGAGGGTCTCGGAGGGGAGGGGACCATGCTGCAGCCTGGGCTGGACCAGGAGATGCAGGAGGTGGGACTCAGACCTTCCCACATGATTTAAACAAGTCCTGATCCTAAAATCTGATTGAAACACACTGGAAATTATTTTATTGCCTGAGGGATATGCAGTGGGAAGTCAGAGTCATTCTAGCTTAAAAAGGCAGCTTTCTTCTTTCCTTTTCTCTCTTCTTTTTAAGTTATTGAGGGCATGTTTGCCTGTGAGGGAAAGTTACTTGCTAGGATCCGTGCCCTGCCTGGTAACGAGGGTTGGGGCTGGGCAGGCAATTTTCCTTTCCTTTAAATTTTTGTCTATGCCTTTGCCTTTGATACATCACACCCAGGCTCTGAAGGTTCTTCTCAAGAAAACTGCGTGGCATTTCTTCAGCTTCTTCTTCTCCCAGCGAGTGTTTTATAGGTTACAAAGCAGATATTGCACATCGTGTTGTTGGCAGCGGGGTTTGGGTCCTTTTAGAGCAACAACAACAACAAAATTCATTAATAAATATATATAAATGTACGAGGATTAGATGCATGGAAGTCTTCGTGCTTGCATAGATCAAGACGCTCAACATAATGTCTACTCAAATATTTTAATGGGCTTTAACTTCCTCTAGTACCATTTGTTCTGGGTTAAATATAAAGGAAATCTGTGTAGT